TATTTTACAAACTAACATCTGAACTCTTTCCCTAGCCTCTGGACCCGTTTTTCGGCCCAGCATTACGGTGAACCAATCATCTGCTCATCGGTTTTGCTCGGTGGTTTTAAGCTTTTTTGGACAGATTAGCAGGGCGTTATTCTTCCGCCTTCACAAAGGCCGTCCCTGTCTTCTGAACTTCCGACTCCTTAGTGCCTTTGCATATTCCTGAGGCTCACATGGACTACGCGTACCAAAATTGTTCATGTACTTGTCGAAACTTGATTTCGATGCTACCCAGTTTTCATTTGAATTTCCAGAGGACAATGTGTAGAAAGCCTTTAAACCTGGTTAGTGATTTTTAACACTGGGACAATGTAGCATGTACTCATACTTTCACTGTTTTGGAGCGAAAAACCTACCATCTTTCAGTCCAAAGCGTGAATCGCGATCTTTGAAAGTCACAAATCGTGTTCCTCACTTTACTCAAACGATAACCATCATAACTGAAGCCTTGCCCGTCGGTTAACGCATATAACCAAATATTTGTTAGTTCCCAATATTTTCTTTTGTATTTTATTATGGTTGAGAATATGATGTGTTGACTTTTTTTAACACTGCGCCCTTCGTGCTCGTCAAGTAATAGGAAGAGTCCCTGAGCTCAGAACTTTGTTCTGTTGTGAATCAGCCTGGACGTACGGAACACTCGCTTACGTTCAAACGCTTCAAACTATCGAAAAATGTTTGACGTAAGCGAGGCATTAGTGGCTCTCACGCCAGCGGAATCATCCAACTCACAGCATTGTTGCAGTGAAAACAGAACTGTACTCCTTTTCTACCGACCTTATCAAAAACCAAAATGTTTCTGAGCTCATCTGTCCTTAGACTTGTTGTACAATATGGTTTATCTTCAGTCATACAGAATGATACCATTGCTCGTGTGATCGCTGTGTATCCACCTACATTCGTACATTCTTTCACCCCTATCCTTGTTGTAGCTGCAGTTCAAGAGGAAAATCGGGAGGCTTTGTGGGACAAGACCAAATTTGGAATACGCCATGCTGTCGAAAAGTATTCAAACTATGACTTCTTTCTGAAAGCGGATGATGACACATTTGTGATAGTAGAGAATCTTCGCAAACTACTCCGGGACCTTAATCCAAACGATCCATTCATCATGGGCAGGAGATTTCGGGTAAGATGTTGTAAATCACGTGCATTTTTCTTACGCAGTCCTTGAGCGGAGTAAGTTTGGCAGGTCATTCTTTTCACCACCCATTCATTAGGCGTGGTTGGAGCGCGAATTTACTGACCGCAAGGTCCATAGTTCCAACCAGGCCTTTGCCTCCGGACTTCCCCCTTTCTAGGCTTGGGCAACCTGGCAGTAACGCAGCTCTCGTGCTTCCTTTGGGTGACATGGCAGCTAGGCACCGAAAAGGTGTTACAGCTTAACGATTGTCATCTTTGATCTTTTAGGCATACGATTCATAACTCCAAAAGCCTGGTCGTTTGTATGATGTCCTTGTCACCCAGCGAATTAGCTCACCACGAATTCGGTTGTAAAACTTCTCTTGTTGCTTACCACTGGTTCCCAGTTGTGGTCTTCGTTAGGAGTATCAAACCGTTCACTTACCTATGTCATTCACACAACATACAACACGCTATGCTGCTTTACATTTCTCCAACACAAATTTCACTTCTTGTTGTCATCCTTCACGCCAGACTTGTTCGAACGTGATGACTACGTGGGGCGTTGACGACTAATGGATCGGCAGAGGCGATTTGCTTGATATCATGGAGATTAAGAATGTTCTGTCACATTTCTGTTGATTGTGTATAGCAGTATTTTAATGACTTCAAAACGTCCTATCAGTCTTGCTAGTTAGTGCAGATCTTCTGAAAAAAACATCGATTTCAATTTTGCAGTTAAAGGTATTTCATCAAGGTAGTTGGTGATGGTTGACTTCCGGTAGCCTGTTTGTCAACTGCAACACTGTTCCGATAAGGTCGAGAAGGCTTTTCGGTATCCGACTGCAAGTTTGCCGTTCACTACCGTTTACCGTGTCCTACATGACCTTGGGGACGCGTCACTCTATGACCATCTACATTTTCCATGTCTGGGAACGTCCTGACAAGGTCTCAGTGCTGTCTACTGGTGAAAGGAAGAAGGCATTCGCTGCGGAGTTATTTATTCGGAGATGCCAACTGACCGGTTACAGACCACTGAACAGGGGAACAAAACTCTAATCTGCATCTTAGTTACAACAACTGGACACAGATCTTCTCCCGAACGAGTCTTCCTAGAGATTCGTTGCCTCCACTCATTCGTCGGTCAAATCCAAGCAAATGTTACAAAGTGGCCCCACGAATTCCGCAACAGAATTCCCTTTTTCAGTCGACGCAAGGCGAAATTCTACGAACAACACATACTACTCGCGTGCCTCCCGATCAGTAGTATCACCGTTACACCCGTATGATGCACCAAACACAGTCCCCTTTCCGAAAATAGTTATATGGTGTGTAAATTTTTCGGGACATGGGCGTTCTCTAATGTCGCATCGTTTCGGGATAAATACGTGCACGAAGCGAGTCCTGTGTGTTTCTCTTTACGTTTCATGACTCGTCTTATGATAATCTTGACCCCGTAGTTTTCTTCTTTGTGACCATTAACATCCAGCAATTTTCGTCTCACAGCCACATGTAAAACAAGGTTATTTGTCCGGAGGAGGCGGTTATGTCATTTCCCGAGCTGCATTACTTCGAATACACAATGGGTTGGCCAACGACACCAGATGTGCTGGGCGAGAACATGGAGGAGCTGAAGACGTGAGGCTAGGTAAGTTTTCATATAAATTAGATTATGTATCTTTTCCATTTTTCTGCTCATCTCATGTCTCCGAAGGCTTCAGCTGTGTCAAGCAAGACACAGTTTTCAGTATTGGTCCACTAACTAGCTAGTGCTTTGAGCATCCGTCCAGGATATTCTAATGGTTGTTCCTCAGGTGCCAGAAGTTTGGTGGTGCTAGTCCTGTGGAATAGCTTATTAAAATGCCCTTGGTTTCCTTATGTCACTCAATTACACCGGAACACTTACACTGAAAATGCTTCACTATCCTCTAGTGTCGCGTGGTGTGGTTTATCTTACAGCAAATACTAGTTGTGGATTTCGTCATGCAAGGCAAAGTCAACCTACGCGGGAAAATGGTGTAATTTCGCAGTTATTTTAACTTGATTGGAAACGGTCGTTAGTTTGCATTTCCACGTATTAAAAGGTATCTGAACTCAGCTTCAATTTTGCTGATTATGGTAGGAAGTAGGACGTTTCTGTTTTCAGCTATCCAATATTGAACGTGCAGTATCTAGTTCTTTCCATAGGACTTGTCCAGCTGGTAGTGATTTTGACATATCGTGAGACTGGTGATCTTCATGTGTTTGCCTGTTAGTGAAGCTGTAAGAATAAGTATTCCTCATCATCACGACATAAGGTTTTCTTTCAATGAGATTTTCAAGCTAAACTCATTTTTATTGAGACCTTCTCAAGAAAGGGAACACGGTTCCTAAAACCGCTCACTGTGCAATGTACTCATTTCCACACCGAGTTCATTTTAACGGGAGGCTCAACTAAATCCAAATAGAATCACTGGTTTGTGGTATTTTTCCACTGAATGTGCAACCCTATAAGTGGTCTCCTTGAAACACTACTACTACTTTTTCTCAGCTCCTTGGTTCAGCTGCTGGACCGGGATATTGCTGATTTGGATAACGTCAGGTTTTGGATATTTTGAGGCACCTTATTGTCTATTTCATGTGAACTCAAATTCACCGGAAAAAGGGAACAGCTGGACAACCCAACCTAATCCATTGGCAGTTTGTTCAGTGTACTTGTGTAAGATGAAGTAAGATGGATCTCATGCTCTGTCTTTCGCAAGAAACCTAACTACGTGTCTTGTGTTTAAAAAAAGCGGCTTGGCACGTTTACACGTTGTTATCGTAGAACTATAATCCTAGTTCACATGTCGCTTAACGGTAGAGGAAGCCGTCCCTCATATGAAACCATATGAAACCTTTAATCGTACTTGAGTGCCTATAAGCCTTGGTAGCCCTTTTTAGCCTCTACTAACTCGCTGCCACCACCCAAGTGATGCAGTATAATGTACAGCTTCCGGCTTTTATTGTCAAGAGTTATTCGAACTATAGTTCCTAATAGAACCAATTTATTTAGAACGACAGCTTTCAGGCAAGATTGGTGGCTCGTCTACTTCAAGGCACAGTTCGTTTGATACCCGATTCCGCAGTCAACTCTCCTTCACAAGGCAACTATAAATGAAGGCAGCAGTTGTCATGTGTGTCAAACAAATTTCTCCCTGGTCAGAACAGATTTGGTCTTTCAAAACAGCCCGCCTAAAGATTTACTGGCAAGGTTTCCAGTTCTATACAAATTTTACAGAATGATAGTTGCCGAAAGTCGCTGGAGCACAATACACCTCGTGGAACAGTCCGTTAATTGTGGTCGCGCAAACGTTGGCATGCATTAGACACAGTTCACACAATGTTAACTCCAGAACGGGTTCGAAACTTATGAAGGATTTGCGAGTCCAAAATCAATATGACTCAGGTGTCACATGATCCCACCGCGGCAACAGCCCCAGCAACTCACGAAAGCAAAACGTCCACTATCCGCATCCATGTCAGTCTGAATCATATTGTTTCATCATGACTTTCGTAGGTTGGAAGGCTACAGTTGATTCTGCACTCTTTTTTCAGGGCACTGTGCGGAAGTGGTTGGCGTTCGAATCATGGACAGCTTAGATGAACATGGTCTCGAACGATTCCATCCCTTTTCACCAGCCTCCATGATGAGCAAGAGCGTGCTGGAAGCCACACGCTGGTTTATGAGCTACAATTATCACAAGGTTCAGACAGTACGTCTTTTTTCTACGAAATGTTTCTTTGCTTTACACTTGACTGCTTGCTCAAGGTCGTCTGGTAACAGAGTGTATTTTTCCCTTGCAGCAAGTAAACCCAGAACAATAGCTTTGGCTAATCGCCCTTCATCAGGCAAAAATGCAGACGAAAGAAGAAATTGCAATTGCAACTCGTTTAATGCTCGTTTTACTGAAAGGTTTTGTCTTCAGACCTGCTGCAAATTTCGACTTTTACTTAACCTCTAACTTCCCTTAGGGATGCAGGCGACTAGGTGAAGGTCGATTCCTGACACGGCACTGGACACGTGAACGAATGACATCATGAAGAGCATCATTCACAATGAGTCGAGTTTAGTAGAAAAACGCCCACATACCCCTTCCACTGGTAGTATTGTTGAAGTACTATGTGCTGAGACAGATTAAGTGTTGTCGTAAACGAGAGATTCGGCTGAGTTTCCCATGAAAACCAAACTGGTATACAAATGGGTGTATGTGTCGAAATCTGTCTAATTTGAGTTGTCGGAAAATCGGGGACTGCGCATACCTGATGAGCCCCAAGAAGGGCCAAACTGGTCGCGGATTGCCAAGGAGCTTTCAGCAACCTTATGAGTAGCTTCCTTCATGGCAAGGTAACTACCATGCTTTTGTGACCATGTGTTGAAAGTCTCATAGCCTCATCTGCCACATAGTCTGACCTAGCTAAATCAATTTATCATGAAAAAAGTGCCCAAAAGTTGCAGAAGGTTATTTGAACCAAATTCATCGAAACAGCCAAGCAATCCACCGATTGTTTGCTTAACTCTTCTCAAAACGATGACTTCTCAATTGGTTTCAAAATTTTCCCGGTATTTCGCAATCCGTCATGCTCTACTTGCCTTCACATCCACTGGATCGGCTGCAACGCTTGCTCTGGCACGTTAAAATTTCCACCGGCCTTCCCGGAGGTTCTGGTATTAGGCGTCACTCGAAGATACCGCTTGCTCGTTACATGAGGATTAAATTGAGTTGCCTTCGATTGATCCAACTACCTCTCATAAGTAGTATGATTCCTTCCATCAGTCATCAGGTTAAATTTGTTCATTCTGGCTCATCATCGGTTTTCATGGTGGAATCGCTAACTATACTGATGGATATGAGATTCGTTGAATCCTATTTGACTTTGAAAGACGAGTCAACTCAGGGGTGATATCAGTCTGCTCACTCTTTCCTTCCTAGACTACTGGTTGGTACTCTAAATAGTGGTCACTTCTGAGGAGTGAAAAGTGTTCCGTTTGGATCTCTCCATGCTACATTTTGCCGTTATTTGACGCAGATAGCAAGCTGAGTTGTTCTGGGATTCAACAGCCCTCCTTCCTAAACGTACCACTGGTACCTGGGATATTGACATTTGCCTGCTTATTCTGGTAAAATGGACTGAAAATGCAGGTAAGTCAGAGGGTAAAATCAATCACGCGGGTAAAAAAGTGGGCAGTTAAGATGATCCAAAATTGGCTCTAACCACACGCGTCCGTGCTGAAACTCAAGAAATTCTGTGATTACAAGCATCTGCATACTGCTTAGGGTTCACTCACGCTTCAAGGTGACTCTGCTTTCTCAGATAGGATTAATATGCCTGGGCTACATCAAATGCGTATGCACTGGACTGGAGTTGTGCCACTGGCTTGTTGGCCGTCCTAACGTAATTACTTTGAAATCCTAAGGAATCTGCAGTTACCTAAGTCTGATTCCATTGTTCATCCTTGGTCTCTACATGAGAGGAAGACGTGAAGATGTGGTGCACGGGTACTGGTTTACGTAGAATTACTTGTTTATCGAATGGAACCACAAGGTTTTTTTCCCTTTACTTTGTTTTGGTGTGAAATAAACAAGGATCACTGCACGCATCGATCAGCTGGCAGTAGAACGCGGATGGAGACAGGCAGCTTTCGTTTCGCCCATCCTATGTACCAAAAACATTGATCGAGTTTAGCGTTTCCTGTGTGTCGCTGGAACAAATAATCGTACGGTAGCAGTAGGTTGTGTGGAACCTGCAACCATCGTTGAAAGTGACAAACTGCTTCAGTCGGCAGTTCTCACTATACTGTAACAAACTTGGTGTAACTACCGTGATTATTTGGCTGATGCGACAAGGCTTGATTTACTCCGGAAAGGATGAAGCAGATTAACTTCTAATTGACCGTTTGTGATGCCCTATAAACCATTATGGAGAATCACCCTCAAGACGATGTTCCATTATCCCCACAGTACTCCATGTAATGACTCTTTGCCAGCTTCGTATTGTCTCTAGTGAACCAGTGCATCCGTACTGCAACAAAGCGGATGGTAGTTTGGACACAGATTGCTCCGAGTGTTCGTGGTTGTCCGTGAACGGCAATCACAATAGTCCTTGTGGAGCATATTAACACCACACTCCGCTCAAACACGAAAGTGCTTGCGGCTTCAGCTCTAAGACTGCAGTTGCATCCACTGTGCACCGGTGAAATAACACTTATCTCGCGTGTTAACTAATTGAATTTCGCATCCCTGTGCTGATGAGGATAAACACCACTGACCAGTAAGGACGGAACTCGGATATTGTGCCTCCTCGTTGAGAGATCAGGAATCGGAATAAGTTCGTTAAGATAGGGAAAGGACTTCATGACTTAGAACGTATAAGTTCAACGATTTTCACCACTGTCTTCTAAATTATCCGGCCAGTTTGGATGTTTGACGGTTTAAAAGTGCTCCTAGGGTCTGATAGGTACGTCGTCGATCGACACAACAGAGAAGGCTATCAGGTCACCTTTCGAGGCATCTGATGATTCAGTATCGCTAACGCGCTTTCCTCCTGTGATCAGGTAATCTGGGATCAAATCCCCATGCATGTCAACCATTGTCTTGTATATAAGTAAGGTTCAACTCGGGGTTGCATTGTGTGCTGATTTGGATTGACCAGAATGCTCTACTGAAGCTGGAGATTAACTATACATACAACAGGAATACGGTTATGACCCAATCTATCAATCTACCGAAATCAGTACTTCAGTTGCACCGTGCTTTTCTCATTTTTACTATTTTATTTACTGTTGCTTATTTGTGTACATTGTTTTTCCTTTTGACATTACTATGACAGTCAGTGAATGTGGCTGGCTATAACACGAATTCCTAATGTGAAGCGAACTTTTGCAACTGCTACTTATGCCACTATAATGAAGCTAGCTTCGTGTTTTTACACATGGGATGACCGACGATTTCATCAATGTATACTCATTTTCCTCACCGGTGTTCTATTGTTAGCTGGTGATATGGATGCAACCAAGCTAAAGAAGGGAACTGTGAGAGTACAGTCAACCTAGGGCTTCATGACTTGACCGTTTTATCTGTTAGCTTCCCGCATCTATTCTTAACTTATCTACTTTGTTTCGACAGGGCATTGAGTGCTGCAGTGACTACGCCGTCACCTTCCACTACGTGGCGCCGAGCGATATGTATGTTTACCATTATTTTCTCTATCATTTGCATCCCTACGGAATTCACCGAGACTTTCATGATGTGCTTCAACTATGCAACCGCGTAATGATCAAAGGAGCAACTTGACCTTTTCGGAAAATGTTACCATTCTTTTGACCTAGTTTCACTGCTTCTATTCGGATCGTGTTCAGCTGAAGATTTCTCACTGTGTAGTCCATAGTGTTTTTTTCCACTTATTTCACAGAGTGTTCCGTTTTTTTTTATCGGCCAAGGAAAACGAGGATCCTTGTTTTTGCAGAGATAACTTCTTTTCGTATGAAATTTGTTTTGTCAAATTACGTGCGTGCTGCTGATCGCTACTTCGGGATTGGGTCACAACTTCATGTCAGGACGCGCCCAGACACAGAAAAAGTACATGATCATAGAGTGACGCATCCCCACGGCCACTATCGGTACGGCATGTCCGGAAAGTAGGTGAGTTGCCGGCTCTCACCAAACACGGTTTAGCAACACACGACCAGCGTAGTGGGCCTGAGATTGTTCACGACCGGAACACCACCATTGGCTGTACGGAACGAACAAGTGAACGACCATATTTGGCCATTTAGTCATCCTATATATTACACAGACCCTCTGTATGTTTTGCCCTGACAATACAGCCGTGTCCCGAGTTCTCTGTCTTCTCCTTATCGCGTAGTCTGGCGGGCTCCGTGCAGGCGTAACCCAATAGACGGCCACTCACGATACAACACTTCACATCTATCGCTAATGATGCCTGCTGATGCAGAAGCAAATCTAAAGCTCGTCGTCATTTGTTCACTCTTGTGTTTGTAGCCATACTTCTTATATTGTCGCCCGCGAAGACCTCGTTATTCACTATCATGTCACTATCAACACCAGCGTTGAACATCGGGGCTTGATTGCCCGAATAGGAAGTCGCCGATCTGCTGACGGGACGACAAACGGCTGGTTGCTTTTTCCCTCCTCTAGCCCAGAATTTGTATCCTGACGCGAGTCAACGAGACCCAGTGAACTTATGACAAGAAGGCTGATATCCAGCCGATACAGGGGAAACAACGAATGAGTCGTACAATCCTTTCTGGAACAGTGATGGTCGAAAACACACTTGATTATTTGTCTGTTCCGGAGCTGACCTTTTTCGTGGGAGGTGATTGCTAACAGAAGAGATCCCAAGGACATTTCACCAGGTTCAGTCGGTCCAATGGGTCTGTTGTAATGTGGGTGGCCGTCTATTGGGTTACGCCTGCACGGAGCCCGCCAGACTACGCGACAAGGAGAAGACAGAGAACTCGGGACACGGCTGTATTGTCAGGACAAAACATACAGGGCTTCTGCGTAAATATATGAGATGACTACAGGGCTGAATATGGTCGTCCACTTGTTCGTTCTATACAGCCAATGGCGGTGTTCTGGTCGTGAACATTTTCAGCCCCACTCCACTGGTCTTATGTTGCTAAGCCGCGTTTGGTGGGCTCCGCCAACGCACCTACTTTCCGCATATTTACCCATGGTGAAATTGGGCACGCGTCACTCTATGACCATCTACATTTTCCATGTCTGGGAACGTCCTGACAAGGTCTCAGTGCTGTCTACTGGTGAAAGGAAGAAGGCATTCGCTGCGGAGTTATTTATTCGGAGATGCCAACTGACCGGTTACAGACCACTGAACAGGGAAACAAAACTCTAATCTGCATCTTAGTTACAACAACTGGACACAGATCTTCTCCCGAACGAGTCTTCCTAGAGATTCGTTGCCTCCACTCATTCGTCGGTCAAATCCAAGCAAATGTTACAAAGTGGCCCCACGAATTCCGCAACAGAATTCCCTTTTTCAGTCGACGCAAAGCGAAATTCTACGAACAACACATACTACTCGCGTGCCTCCCGATCAGTAGTATCACCGTTACACACCTCCACCCCTTAAAGCTCGTTCGCATGCCATCGATTTTCATTTACCTCCGTCAGGTCGGCTTCGGCAGCGGGTCTACTCGGCCGCTCTTCAGGTGTATCATGCCACTTGCGAAGCTGCGTCCCATTCACTACTTTCGATCCCCGACCATCTTGAATGGTATAGACGTTCCCCCGGCGGTCGGTGACTACAAACGGCCCTTGCCATCGACTGCCCAGCTTCCGCGACCCCAGTCCACTCCTTCCAGGATTCTGGTGATCCTTCCACTTGACCTTCGTGCCTATGGGGAACGTTCGGACCTTTCTACTTGCCGTTTTCTGCCTAGCCCTTTCCTGAACGGCGGTCAAATTTTCTCGAGCTCTCTTTCTTTCTTCCTCTAGCTCCTCCGGAGACAAGCGTGTTGCCGGCCACAACCCAATTTCCTGATCAACCGGAAGGCGCGGATGTCGACCGTACATTAACATAAACGGGGACTTGCCTGTGGTTGACTGCGTGGAAGCACGATGAGCTAACAACACCATTGGCAAGTTCATTTCCCAGTCACCTCCTTTGGCCGCAAGCCACTCCTTGATCGTTCGGTTGTTACGTTCGGTCAGGCCATTTGTTTGCGGGTGGTATGGTGCCGTCCTTAGCCGTCTGATACCCAGCTTCTGCAAGCAATTACGAAACTCTTCGCTCTCGAAGCAAGGCCCCTGATCGGTTAGGATCATTTTTGGCACCCCATGGTTGGCCACAATGTGATGCATTACCACTCCGCTGATCGTCGTCGCCCGCTGATTCGGCACGGCTGCCGCCTCAATCCATCGCGACAGGTGTTCTGTCATCATCACGATGTATTGGTTCCCACTGGTTGTCACCGGAAAGGGGCCCATGACGTCAACTGACCACAACTCGCCGATTTCTGAGACAGGAATGGGTTCCATGGGATGGGTCGCCCCTGTCGTATCCGCTTTCATTAGTTGACAACGCTTACAGGACACCACATAATCCATCACCTCACTTCTCATCCCGGGCCAGTAGGCCCTCTGCCGAAGTAGGTCGTATGTCTTGGTGCACCCTGTATGTGCCATCTCATGGCATTCAACGATGAGATTCCGTCTCAAGACGCGAGGTATCACGGGCAGCACAACATCTGAATCAGTGGCGTTCCAGGAAATTATGCCAGCTTCATTCAGCCTCAGCCGATCAAAGTGACTCTGGAACGCTTCTAATTCCTTGTCTCCCTCTCCGTTCTCAATGTTCCTTCCATCCAACAAGGCGGCTGCAACCTTTTGTAACACCGGATCCTGCCGTTGGAGTTGCACCAACTTTCCGGGATCCAGTTCGACGACGAGGCCATTGGCTCCAATCATGATCTTGGGGACCTCATCTTCAGCTTCTGGCCTTGATAGCCAATCAGCCAAGTGGTTCTCCTTCCCCGGCACGTGCTGGATTGTGAAGTCGTACTCTTGCAACCGGAGTGCCCAGCGTGCGAGCTTCCCGCGAGGATCTCTGGTGGTCCTGATCCACTCCAGGGGTTTGTGATCGGTTTCGACATGAAACCTTTGCCCAAGCAGATATGGTCTCCACTTATCCAGGGCCCAGACGATCGCTAAACATTCCTTCTCAATGGTGGAGTACTTCTGTTCAGCGTTAGTCAGGACGCGACTGGCATATTCGATAACTCCATTCCTCTGCTTTAGGACTGCGCCGATACCGCGATCACTGGCGTCCGTTGCAACAATGAACATCTCTCCGACCCTGGGAAGTTTGAGGGTCAGTTGCTGATCCGACATCCGCGCTTTGACACGCTCAAAAGCTTCATGTGCTTCTCCGGTCCATTCGAATTTCCGATTTTGACCGAGCAAATCGTACAGTGGCGCAGCGATCGTGTTGAAATCCTTAACGAACCGGCTGTAGTATGCTGCTCGTCCAAGAAACTGTCGTAGAGACCGCTTTGAATTGGGAACAGCACAATCCCCGATCTTTGCCAACTTCTCGGGCAGTGGACTAACTTCTCCCTGACCCACTTTATGCCCCAGCAGTGTCACCGAACTCCGAGCGAGCTGTGTCTTGGCTTCATTTATCCGCAGGCCAGCCTCCCGGATCCGCTCCAACACAGCCTTCAAGTGAACTACGTGCTCTGGTTCCGAATTGCTGTACACAACGATATCGTCTCCGTACACGGCAACATTCTGGAGTCCCTTGGTTACACGAAGCATCAAGCGCCGGAATGTGAATGGTGCCCCGGACAAACCAAACGGCATTCGTCTAAATTGATATTGGATGTCCCCAACCGTAAACGCCGTTTTCTCCCGGTCCTCCTCCTTGATAGGTAGTTGCCAATATCCGGAACGCAAGTCGAACACAGTAAAGTATCGGGAATGCTGGAGGGAATCGAAAATCTCTGCAACCGAAGGCACAGCCACAACCCGATTTACGGTCAGTTCATTCAAGCGCCGGAAATCCACGCAAAATCTGTATTTTCCGTTCGTCTTCCTTACAAGCACAACTGGGGAATTGTACGCACTGTTGGCTTCTTCGATTATACCGTTCTTCAACATCTCCTGAATCTGTCTATGGACCTCCTCCCGTAGATGGAGCGGCAACGGACGGGGGCCATAAGGTCGAAAGCGTTCTGATGACAGAGGAATTTCGTGTTCAATCCACGGGCAGAAGCCAAACGGATCCTCATCGCCCGTAAACAGTTCGGAATATTCCTCAACCACGGCCCGTATTGACGATACATTACAAGACGGAAGTTTTCGGACACACAGCTCCCTCACGACAGTGCCTGGATAACCTTCAAGCTTGATTGCGCCATACTTTGTCACCAGCCTTCCCTGCTTTAGGTCAATCACGGCATCTGTGCCCTTGAGAAAATCAGCTCCCAATATTGTCTGCTCTACGTCTGGGCTGATCAGGAACGCGTGCTGCACGGACTTGTCGCCTAGGCGTATCGAGTGCGTTGACAGTCCGTCAATCTTCAATCGATATCCGCCAACAGCTCTCACGGCTAGCGCGCACGGTCTGTGTTCAGCTTGGTTCCCTCTTTGCCTCAGCGATACGCCTGCTCCGGTATCAATCAAACATAACTCCTTTTTCCCGTCTACCTCGACAATGGCTTGTACGGTAGCTTGTGTCAGTGCGCTAATCGCGACCCACCCAGGAAAAGAGGAGTACTCTAAAGTTTTATTGTGTACAAGCGATCGGTTACGGGGACACTGATTCTTCCAGTGGCCAGGCTTGCCACACATGTAGCACCGGCTGGTTCGAGCGTGCCTCCGCGATTCCGTCTTCACGGCTGCCAGCTGTTCGGTGAGTTGGTCCACCCTGGTCTGCAGTTCCTCCACTGATGCAGCATCCCTGTTCTCCTGCGACTGCAACGTGGCCAGTGGCTCCTGGGGCAGCTCCCGGGCCAGACGCACCAGCTCCTCCACACGCAACTGGGCACCAAGCGCGGGC